TGCTATCTCCACTTAAATTTCTAACAGCCATTTCAAGCTTAGGATATGAAAAATGGATTTATTCTCCATTCTATCCTATGTCTCCTAAATAACATGTTGTTTGTGACAAGAAATAGGAAATATATTTGGTTCTCCTTCTTCCTTTGTCCCAAACCCAATTCACCAAGTCTTGTGGGCTATTCTAGCCAAGTATGTCCTGAATCCAACTACTTCTCTGATTGCTACTATAAACTGCTAAATTGTCTGCCTTGTGCATAGCCAATAGAGCAAACAGAGCACACCACTTCCTGCTTAAAATCCTCCAATGATTTTCCTAGCATTTAAACTAAAATCTGTGTCCTCCCTTTAGCTTTCATAGTCCTTCATTACTCTTGAACTCACATTGGTCCCATGTTCCTCCTCACTGTACTCTACCATATCTTCCCTTCTATCTTAGATCATTCTGACCCTGTTTGCACCTCAGGAAATTTGCACTAATTCTTTCCAGTGACTGTGCTGTTCTTTCCCAAATTTTCATATACCAATCATTCAGATCTTATATCAAAGAAAACCTCTTCTGAGATTCCCTCCTTGACATCTCTGCTTATTTGTATTATGTCATGTTTTGTCTCCATAGTAGAGGGACTCATGTTAATACCAAACGTTAGTTTAAAAACCATCTAGCAGCAAGAAGGAACAAGCCAGAGAACTGAGATACTATAATCATGGTCTACAAAGTTTATTCTTAAAAAAGAATATAGAGCACACTCAATTTCCATAGACCAAGACAGAAAATTGGACCAAACTCTAATAAGGAAAGTATACTAAGCTAATGAGAGGCATGATTGAGGAATTACCAATTCCAGAAGCACAATAAAGAGGCGAATAAAAATACTTGAATAATCATTTTTTTTAAAAAGTGTCAGACTCTCTAGGGTATTAACTTGAACCTTGAAAAGCAATAGTTAACTTCCCTGTCCTCTCCAATCTGTTGGTAGTGTCTTCTTGGAACTCCTTTGTTAGGAATGATCCTGAGTCTACATATTTTGCTCAACGGTTGAAATAGTGTGAAGAACTGAATGAAGTGACACACAGCAATTTGTTATAATTATTCTTCATAGATTCACATGAGAATCTAAATCTTTATTCAACACACATTTTATAGGCTGTTCCATCCCTTAATCTGATTTAACAAATTTACCATTATTTTTAAAGCCATGTTGGCTCTTACATTTCTACCATCATGATTCAGAGTATCAATTGAGATACTAAGATGTCCATGCTTACCATCAAGAAATCTCTGAAGACTTTACAATAACCATTATCTCAGACCATTCAGTCTTTTCATGATCCCCATGATACCTGGATGAACAGGACATTAAAAGGGAATACTATATAATGTGAAAATTTAAGATTCTCTAAGGAACAGGAAGGTACTTCAAAAGAGAATAGCAAAGTAGTTGTGTTAATAGAAAAAAGTGATAGAAAAAAAAAAGGATAATTGGAATGAATAGAGCTGGGTACAAGAATAGCATTTAGGTATAAAGGAATAGTCCAGAAGAGAGCCAGTGAAGACCAGGCTCAAGATAAGAAAGATATGGAGAGAAATTCAAGAGTCTTTTTCAAGGACTCATTGGAATTTAGTAACTGACAAGATGAAGGGAACAATGAGAATACATGATAAGTACAAGGGCCTTTGTTTAACCAAACAGGTAAAAATATTAACTATTAAACAGGGAAGACAGGAAGTGGAATAGTTCTGGAGGTGGCCTTGTGTTTATACTGATCATTTGCCTATTTGAGCCCACATCTACCTTTTGCATCCTGGAACACTACATTACCTGAACTCCTTCGCTCACAGGTTTCTGGGCAGGTGTGGACAATGGTAGGGACTAGGAGAAGACTGGAGTTTGAAAAGTCAGGGGGAAACCAGGGCATTTATTCTTCTCTTGTCTTGCCTCAGGCAACATTTTTCATAAGCAATCAGATCATCTCTGAGATTTCAGCTCTTACCAGACATGCACTGTGTCCTCAGTTACAGCTTCCTTGGTGGCTATAGCTCTGGCCTCAGCTATAGTTCTAATCCTTTTGAGGTGACCTTGACTTCTGGATTATGGAAATCCCATCCTTTTCTTTAATCCCTCTCACTTTAATGGTGACAGTAGTTGCTTACTATTGCTAATCTGTGGGGTGCCTGCCAACCCATTTTGACTTCTTGGCTCATATATCCCCTGGTGTTCAATTTCCTGTTTGAAATGCCTAGATTTGATTTCCTTGGTTGCATCACAACTGATTGAATTGTCATGAATTCAGCTTTGTGTGTATTTGTAAATGTTATAATAATGAGACTCAGTTCAAGTAGATGCAAATAAATTCTCATAAGAATAAATGTTTTAGCAAATAATATCCAGGCATCAATAAATGGAAGCATACTGATATTTTCATAAATATACCGTTCTCATTTGTGGTACTGGGGATTGAACCAAGGGCCTTGTGCATGCTAGGCAAGCATTCTACCACAGAGCTAATTATATTCTCTTTTCAAATCAACAGTTCTGAAAGAATCTAAATAGTCAATGAAAGTAATAACAGGCAACAATTTGTGTAGTAGAATTTAGTACATACCATGCTGTGGTGACCATCCTTCACACATTTCATCTAATTCTTAAAACACAACCCACATACAGTTGTCCCTCAGTAGCCTCATGGGACTGATTCCAGGAGCACCTAAGGATACCGAAATCCAAAGATGCTCAGGTTTCTTATATCAAATGATGTTGTATTTCCATATACACATACTCCCATGTACTTTAGATTTTAAATATGTAGTATAATATAGATACTATGTGAATACTGGTTATACTGTATCATTTAGGGAATGGCCAGAAAAAATAAACATGTTCAGGTGTAATATATTTCACATATTTTTGATCTGTGATTAGATACACTAATGCTTTGAACTCACAGATATGGAGGGCTGATTGTACAGGTTTTATTTTATTTCTTAAAACACAGCCCTCAACGCAGACAATATTGTGATCCCTATTTCACAGACAATCTGAATTGGTTTCCTTAAGTAATTAGTCTTTTCTGGCCACTCAGGCTGATTGGAACTCAGGCAGTCTAGCTCTGAAATCCTTACTTTCAACCACTATCTTATAACTCATGGTGAGACTAGCTAATGTCCTAGATATAGATATCAACACAAGTATCAATATAAGTTTTAAAATTTTAGTTGGTTGTTAAAGCATTGCATTTTTCCTAAATATATCTCTAAAGTGAAAAAATGCACAAAAGGAATTTTTAAGTTTTTAATGCACAAAAAGAACATCCCAGCAACAGAACAGGCACTGACTTATTAACGATGAAGCACTATATAAAGGAGACCCAACCCATTTAGTAATTAGGAATATAATGTAAATAGACATGAAAAGAGGTGAATACTTTAGGATTAAATGCAAACCCTAAAGTTGTACACAACATTCATATATGGCTTATTATCTCATAGCAATATTTTTATAATGATGCATATGACATTTGTACATATTAATAAGATGCTTTTGACTCAAACATTAAACAAAAATGCTGAAGAGGTAGTTTTGCCAATACAAGGTGAGAAAAAGGCTCTACCTTGCTTTGGGTATTTCCTCAAAAATCTACATTTCTTTTTGGTTCTAATTTTTCTCCTGAATCAGCCAGGCGGACAATGTTTTTAGAAGCTGCCAATTCAAAACTCTCTAAGAACCAGTTCTCCCACGTGGACAATGATGTTTTTGAAACTCTTTTGCAAGTCAATTGGAAAGTTTTCTTCATCTTCCCCTCTGATTTGAATATGAAGTAGATTCTGGGTCAATGGAGATCTACTAAAGATCTGACCAGCAGTTGCAGGAAACCATCCTACTTTCTCCTTAATTCTCTGAATGATTTCACAATAGAAACTTTCACAGTGATCCAAGAATATGTGTAATTAAAAGTCAGGAATTACTTTAAGTTTAAAAAATGAAGTCAGAAAGTGTGTGATGTGTACTACAAGAGACTGCACATATTCCTCATGTTTTCAGTTGTGGTTCATAAAGTCATCACATCTTAGAATCAAAGGGAGTTGGGGCTACTGATGGTCAGATGTCACATGCTGTCTATTCTGTGCATGGGACACAAGGACAGGAGAAGGTCTGTCAGCACTGAAACTCTTGGACACCAGTCATTTGACTCCATATACAAACTAGCTTATCCTATCTTTACAATGAGAAATAACCCCACAAAAAAGTTTCAAGAAGCAACAGAACCTTGTCAATTTGCAAAACTTGAATAGCCATTTGCCAGACAATGGTTAGGAACCACTAGAAACAAAGTGGCATCATATTAATCAGGTATGACTTGTTACACACAGAAAGCATAAATATACAGTAAACAGAGCTTTATATGTAGCCCCAGCAGAATATGTACATATTAGCACTGCATTGAAACTGAGCAGGAATTTCAGAAGCATATCCCAGCTAAGAAGCAGTTTCATCACAGGACAGTTTGAAAGTCACAGATGCTGAGAACACCATGTGGTAACACTAGGCAGATATCCACATACATTTATCCTTGAAAATGCACAATGTGAGAAGTAAAGGTCATGAGTGACTAGCACTTTGCCCGCTGAGCATCTTCTTTCACATAAATAGGCACCGAATGCATTCTTCAGTGGTGGTCTACAGCCTCAGACCTCCTGCATGTCCACTGTGCCAGGAAAGGATTCTCTCAGCACACACTGAACTAATCACAGGCCATGCACTTACATCAGCTTCTGCATTTTCAGGTCAATGAGCTCCTGCCTTCATAGGCTCCAGATTCAAATCAAAGCATAAATAACACAGAGACCATGCTTGGGATCCGTCCCTTCACAAGGTTACTAGAAGAGATACTTGGTCAGAGCAGCATAAACGCTGCACACCAGTGAGCAGGACGGAGAGTAGCTTTGTGCACTTTTGCAAAAACAATCCCCTGCCCCCCAAATCCACCAGGTGTGTCTTATTTTATTGGTTAGCTCTGTCTGTAGCTAGGAAGACACTGTGCTGCTCCTGGGCTCTTTCAATCAACTTCCTCTTCTTCTTATTTCTCCTCTCCTTTGCCTTTGGTGTTCTCTTCCCTGCAATGGGGGAAGGAGAAAAAAAATTGAGAGATTTCAGAAAAGTCTTTTACTCTAGGAAAAGCAAACAAAAAACATTGAGAGTTTTGCACAAAGCCCATCTGGAAAACATCACCTATGGAAAAAACAGCCTCAAAGAGAAAATTGTTCACATTAATTTTGACGGAATAATAATAATTTAGTAAATTGGATATGCTGTCTAAAACAGAGACTGATCTTCCTGTTACAGGGAACTGGCATATTTAAAAACCTCCCAGTGGCCAGCTCAGTCTTTCAAATATCATCCTGCCACAAAAATTCCATTTATCCCTCCTACTTTTAACAATGCAACCCTTTACTAGACATCTTTACATCTTTCTACTGCTCCACATGTCAGTGGGTCAAAAGAAAATAAGCATTTATCTACAGTAAATATATCAGAAGTTTCAAACTCCCCTCTCCATGCCCCTAGGGGTGCGGGGGGTGGAATCTTGCTTTTAACATTATTTTTTCCATGTTCTTCAAACACCAATATGTGAAATGACATATGTGCAATGATTTTTTATTTTCTGTAAAAATTCATGAGGACATCATTCATTATGGGTCTCTTAGGTTCTTATTCAAATTCCCTGGACAAATTGTTCTTATAAATAATGGAGAACATGAAAAAAATGCTTGTTTATTCTGATAAACTGATGGTATGCATCTTACTACCAGAAAATCACACCAAGTTATCCTATTTCTCTTCTTTGCCTTAGCCACTAGGAAGCCCAGACCACAAGCTAAATACTTGAGGTTTTCCTCCATCAGGAATTTTTGGATGCAGTTTTCCTTCTACCTCTGCTGTATTTCACTTCTTCCAACTTGTGGTTATGGTTTATAGTGCTACTTTAGAAGGTCTCAAAATTTCATTGCAAGCATGTATACATAAAATGGTGGGGGAAAAAAAGACTAAAGAACATAATGCATTTGGGTTTATTGCCCTCTTTAGGTTCTAAACACACATGAATCATGGGATTTTTTAGAAGAGAAAAGTCTTTAAAAGTTTGTAGTATTTTACAGAAGTCATCACATACACCTCCAGCACAAGATGTTTCCTCCAGGAAATGAAAATCTTACTATCAATCCTTTTCTACCTGACCTACTTCCAATTTTATCAAAGCTCATTTTCTGTTCCTATAGGGGTTAGCCATTAGATATCACACTAATCAGCACTGCAAATAGAATATCCAGTTCTGATGATCTTCAAACTTCCAACACCTACAAAATTCAGTATCCCAGGCCTTTTCATGGCAATCCAGACAATGAAGAAGGTAGCTGATATTAAAAAATGAAAAAAACAAATCAGAGATTAAGGAAACCAGTCATACAAGATTGAGAACATGAGATTCTTAAATTAAGACAAGTGTTTCTCATTTCTGATTAGAAAGTGTTTCAGTTGAGGATGGAAAACTGGATTCCTCAAGACCCAAGCACAGTGATTGGCACACACTCAACATTCAATAAGTGTTTTCTGAGCACACATTTTTTTATCACAAGAAGATAAAAAGGATAACTCATTCTTAATAAGACACTATAATAAAATAATGAGAACATGATCATTCCCCCATATTAAATTATAAAGGTCCTTGAAGTTAACTTCTGGTTCTCATTAAATTCTGGCATTAATGTTATAATGGCATTTTGCCATCTTTAAACATAGTTAATCCTACCCAATGAAACCTTAGTCCAAGCCATCATTAATCAAAGCAACTGTAAAATTGCAACTATTTAGTAACATTATCTCTAATGGTGAGATACCTAATGACAGCAGAGAGATGAAATACTTAAAATAACATTTTAAAAGGAACTTCAATTATAAAGACTTATAAATTTTTCTCAGTACTATATTTTTTCTACATAAAAAATTCTTAGCTTAAAAATTTTGCTGATGACATTTAGTTTATGCTTCATTTATATAAAACATGGAGTATCTCTTAAAAGCAAGTGAGAAATAATTGAATGGAAAAATAAAGCTAATATTAGGTTCCTAAGTGTGTTCTGCTGAAGAAGTTATTTAAAGGCAGCTTCTCACATTTATGATTATAACTCTTCATATAGATTATGCAGTTGAAATGTTTACCTTGTACACTAACAGCAAATCTATGCAAAATGACTAGAAACTCTTTTTTTAAGATGGCCAATATTTTGTCATTTATCCAATGTTATGCTGATGTAATTGTCAATATAAAATAACATTGATTCTGCTGGCTGATATTACATTGTGTAATAAAGAAGTTACTCAATATTTCCATAAAACAGTTGGTATTTGGCCAAAACTCAGTGATGGTTCTAAAAATTTTTTTATATAAAATAAGTTTTCAAATTGTATTATTAATCCTTTCACAATAAGTTATGTGATAACAGTTCTAACAAACAATATTTTGGGGCTCTAATTACAACCCCAATGATTTTCCTCAGAAATCTCTTTTGAATGACATCCCCCTGCTATTTTTTGATTGATTGATTTTGATTTGGGCCAGTACCATTTCTCATGCAGGATACATCACAAATACCAAATAATGGAGATAGCCAACATTTGACCACAGATATAACTAGATTAAATGAAAATATTTTGTAGTCCATAATAAGTTGTTCTGACTTTAAGTCAATTAATTATAATAAAAGAATATGGAGATATAAGGTATAAAATTTTGCATACATTTTTCTGAATTTAGATTTTCAAATTTAAGAAATTAGTAAGACTAATGTTATTCAAAATATATTACACTGCTGTGTTTGAAGATAAGTTCCATTCAACAAACAAGTGTGTTAATTTGTTTTCCTCTTGATTTTATTATATCTGTGGATACGAGATTAAGTTTGGGGAATGACTTTCATACTTTGGAGCATTGCATGTTCTCAAAACATTTATGCTCTACAGAAAGCATTTAAGGGCAAGTATAATACCAGTCACCCAAAGAGCAATTTAACTCATGGATTTAACTTTTCTACTTTTCAATTCATGCGAGAAGACAGAATATAAGCTGTCCAAGTTCAGAAGAGAAGGTTTCAGTTTTATGGGATTGTCGGCTTCCAGCACATCCAACTCTGACAAAATTTACACATCATTGTCCTAAATGGTTTGAGAATTCAATGGCCTTGACAAATCACTACAGAGTGAATCTCTTCAACATCAGGTCAATCAGATCTACAGAGAAGATCTTTTAAGAACTGCTTTATGGATACAAGACAACAACTGGCCTATTTTTAGGGAAGGCAATGTGATTTAACAGAGAAACACTCTTTTGGAGGAGGAAAAACCATAGCTAAGCATGATCTTATAATACATTTTCTTATAAGGCATTATATTTGTGACTCTTTATTTCTACATTGATAGAATAAGTGAATACAGTAATTTTTCATTAGAAATTATAAGACACCATGTGAAAAAATTGTGTCCCTGGGGAAAAAGGAAGATGTGTAAATATCACTGGCAAGATGAGATTATCATCAAAATGAAAAAAGCTAGATATTATCAAAGCCACATTATAACCAACATAATTACACTGACTTATACACATGTGGAAATGGTCCAAGAGGATAACCTATCAATTCTTCTACACTGAAAGGTGAACAGTCCCTTATGGAAACATTCCTTACATCCAGCTGAGGATTACTGCTATTAGAATCAGAAATACGGTATATTGTTCTAAAGCAAGATATCAGGCTCACTCAAAAATTACATGAAGCTGTGAAAATACTGACTCCATTTCCAGTCAGAAACTGATTTCATTCTTTCATAAGCTACCAAATTCAAGGTCGGTCAAGGTTTCCTAGGTCTAGATAAGAGTCTTCACATCATAAGAACAATGGTTCTTGTACATCCATCAATTGGGCACAGAGGCTGTTTAGGTTTTCCATACTCAATATGTGAGAAATATTTTCTAAGGATATATAAAAGGGGAGAAAACTGAAGAAAAAATTCAACAGCCATGACTATAAAAAAAAAAAAGATAGAGGCTTGTCTATGTGTATTGTTGATGTACATATAAAAACTACAAACATACCTATACATACAAACTGAAGAAAGTAAGTTACATTATGTAGAATGTGATTAACTATTACAATTGTTATAGCCACACTATGATAAATATAATCATCTAAAACCAAGATGTATTTTTGCTAAAGTTTGACAAGTTTGTGATACTAAGGCTTCATTCGCACTTATGCAATTCACCATGGAGACTTAGGGCTCACTTACTCATTCTTCAAGGAAGCTAAACCTGAGGGACACAAGGCTATTTAATCACTATTCCAGTGAATCTTGCATACTGTAAAGGACATTCTGGAAGTAAAACATAAAAGGTCATTTCCACAGCTGAAATATGAAGTATGAATTGTAGACAATGAATAGCAATTAGGTAATGTCTTTTTCTCATATGGCCAATTTGAGTTTGCCCCAAAATGAGTAGCAACAGATATTTATTTATTTAAGAGTGATGAATGAGTCTCTGGAAAAATGCCATCTAGTTGCTAAAATATTTTTAAAGTTCATATAAAAATAAACAGACCTAAATACAATTCATAAAGAAAATTAAATAGCTAACAAATATTCAAACAATTAAAACTGACAAATAAAATGAGATGTTGCTGTAAAGATCCTTAAAAGTAAAAATACCTGAAGCTGGTAAGAATGCGGTGAGACAGGCATCAAGGAAGCATTAAGAGAATAAATTGATGGAGCCTTTCTGCAAAACCATGTGGAAATGTGTATGAAAGCATTAAAAATATTCATAACTTTTCACTTAGATCTAGGTATCTATTCTAGAAAAATAATCTAAACTTGTATAAAGAGTTCTGCTTAGAGCTGCTCAATAATATTGAAAAACTATAAATTACCTAAAAATCCTCCCACAGTTTCTCAGGATTTCTTCTTTTCATGATTACTGCAGCAATAAAGTAGGATTTCAACTATGAATTGAAGAATTTTACATTTTAAGGCCACAGCAATTAAATCTATTTCCAAGAGTACTATAATT